CAGGAATAGCAGGAGGAGCCAGCAGGAGCAGCAGGAGCAGCAGGAGCAGCAGGAGCAGATAGCAGCAGCAGGAGAGCCGGAGCAGTAGTAGGAGTAGTAGGAGTAGTAGGAGTGGTAGGAGTAGTAGGAGTCGTAGGAGTCGTAGGAGTCGTAGGAGTAGTAGGAGTAGTAGGAGTAGTAGGAGTAGTAGGAGCAGTAGGAGCAGTAGGAGCAGTAGGAGTAGTAGGAGTAGTAGGAGTAGTAGGAGTAGTAGTAGTCGGAGTAGTAGGAGTAGTAAGAGTAGTACGAGCAGCAGGAGTAGTAGGAGAGTAGTAGTAGTTGTTGTTGTTGTTGCAGCAGGAGTAGTAGTAGTAGTAGTAGTAGTAGTAGTAGTAGTAGTAGTAGTAGTAGTAGTAGTAGAGTGGGAATAGCAGTAGCAGTAGCAGTGGCAGTGGCGGTGGCAGCAGCAGCAGTAGCAGTAGCAGCAGTAAAACAGAAGAACAAAAGCAACAAGCAGAAAAGGACAAGCAAACAAAAGCACTTCCTTCTTTGGCAAGATTATCCCCTGGCAAATTGGGGCAGGGCAAGCGTGACCGAGATGCGATACTCACAGCGATGCAGCTGGAGCTTGAAGGCCTTCACACCCTGCTGTTCAGCATTGTTCTGCAAAGTTAAAAGACTTTTCTTGACTGTCCCTCTTGTGCATCCATCTCTCATCTCCGTTGAGCTATGAATTCGCAAGACCCAACTCTGGATGCGCCTTGTTGATCTCCGCGGCTCTGGCAGGTGGGATGAGGGGCACCGCCTGGTGCACTCCACTCTCGCAAGACTCGGATATCCTTGTGGCTTTACATGAAGCCTCATGTGTGCGTCGAACCCAACCGCGCGTTGCGTGGGGCTTCGGGATGGCACGTGATGAAAACAGTCATTAAGTCATGGCTACTGTCAATGATCGAGCAGGGGAATGAAGCGAGACAGGTACAACGGGTATCACAAGATAAACAACTTTGTTTCTTGCCAGTTGGGCCCAGTCCTCGGTGCCAGTTTCCGTTCACCGACCACATTTCCTTGACGCCACCATCCGTCTGTACGAAGACAAAGTCGTCAGAGAGTCGCCACTATCAGTGTCAGCCCTATTCACCTGCCACAGCTTTCTTGGCATCAACAGAAAGGCATCAGCAAACGCGCATGTGAATGACATGATTGGCCCAAAGACCGACATCATGTGCTTGGGGTAGTTCATCCTTTTCGTGGTCTCGGAGGAAATGTTTGAGTCAGTTTGAGTCATGGATGCAACGGTGGCCCTCGATGTCCAGGGGTATGAAAAGATCCTCGCTTGTGGCGTGATGGGCCATAGCTTCGTACCCCAAATGCCTGATGTGTGGCGCAGTGTGTGGAGTCGAAGTGCACCATTACGGCGATAGGCTACATTGTCAGCACCTGTGGCGCGTGTGCTATCTGTGCAGTCTGACTCTTTGAGTCACTCTTGTGCTGCATCCTGCAGCATCTGCAACCGCTTCGACCCCTCGCGCCCGGACATAGACGCTAGGGTCCTTCCACCCTCGCCGTCTGCAGAGAACGTCCCAGCGCCGGATCTAAGGCTGAAATTCTGGTGTGTGGGTTTCATGACATGGCACTTCTGATGGGAGCGCCTTCGTTGCAGTCGGTGGACGACTGGTCTCCTCGCAATGCACGTACGACACATTCTGGCCATCCACCTGCAGCAGTCTAAGCACTGCACGTGAAGCGTTTCAATGGTCGAGAGCCCTTCTCCTTGTGCGTACCTGTATGACCACAAGTTTGATTACACGGCAATCAAGCAGTCAATCGACGGGGGCACGTCTTGGCTCGTACCTTCATTATGTCACCCTCAATTTTGGATTCAGGACATCTTCGCACCTTGTCAGCATGATGGAAGCTTCACTGCGTTTGCCAAACAAAGCAAACTTTGTAAGGCTCTGGCGGGAACCTTCTTCGTTGTCAGAGGCCCTGGAACAGTTCTGTTCCCGATAAACCTTGATCATCCGACGCAGTTAACTTCCTCGTCAAACAACCGAAAGGAAAGTCACGCTCAGCTCGCTGCCAGTCCGGGTTGTCGCCGGAGACCGCTGTTATCTGAATGTCTTCCTTTTGCGAATCGCGCTCACTGAGCTTAGTACTTCCGGGTATGCAAGCGACCGCCGAATGCTGAATGAGCTGATTGCACGGTCCCGCGTGACTCTGCCGTCAGGACCGTAACCGATGTGATCTCGAGCCTGATGTTAATGCACAGCACACATGACGCATGCTTCCACCAAATGTTGCCCGCCTTCTGCATCGTCCAAACCCATGACCTGGGGCGCAGCAATGCGTCACTGCTGATGTCTGTAAATTGCTGTTCCTCAAAAATGCAGACTTTCCAGCTGTTCCCAAACCGGAAAGCACCGGAACAGATACCTTCCCGGTCAGCAGCAAACTATCGGAACTATTGGAAGGAGATGGCTCTAACCCGCTAGAAGTTAGAAGACGAATAGTCTTCTCGGACACAAGAGACAGCACCCGACTCGAAAGCAACACGGAAGCCTTGGATGGGACTGAAAGCGACATAAAACGTTTTCAGATATTGTCAGCGGAACATTCCCACCAAGAACTATCCGAAGGGTATCAAAATCTCAGGGCTTCTCGGGTAAGCTTTCGCTCGTTCCACAAAGTTCCCCCTTATGGCGCACATTGTCGTGTCGGCTTCAACAGTGGCGGGGCTAACACAGACTCCTCCAGATGCCCCTGGCCAGCCGAAGACGCAGACTTGGAGTCTATGCACAAACGACGGCACCAAACTTCCACGGCGCAAGCGGGGCAAAGGCTCGCGGAGCAAAGCTCAGGTCCCAACCCCTTGTCCATTCCAGCGAGACGTGTTGTCTCTGCCTGTCCTAGAGGATGGTACCAACCTTAGTGCCACCCGACGACAAAACATCAACTCATCGGCAGACGGCCAGATCTCATGCCCTATCCGGCCAGGCCCACAACCGTGCTTCGTGATGTCGTACTTGCTTGAGCCCTGGTACTCTGGAACCGGGGTACACAAACGTTGGGTTCCAAACACCGCAGTCTTGCACGAGGGGCACCGCACCGCAAGGAATGGCTTGCGGAGCTTGCAAGTTTACCCATCGACCCTCCAAGCTCGGCAGGCGAACAGTCGTATGAGGTCGGAGGTCCAGCCCACCATGGTGCGGGCCTTGGGCTTGGGGCAGCACATACTTTGGAGATTCCCTGCATGGAAGCCGACGGCGTCGCCGCCAAGCTCTGGACCGCCGCCGGTGTCACCCAAAGGTGCCGAAGTGCCAGGCCGCAGTGTCGCGGCTACACCAGGCCAAGTGCCTCCCCAAGCGCTACGGCGCTACTGCCATGTCGCAGAAGCTTCTACACAAACTTTGGAGAATTCTTGAAAATCTTATAGAATCTTACGGCTGTTGCGAAATCAACAAGCGCAGGCCTGTGGCCATCGCATGGGCCAGTTTGGCATCCTGCCGACGGTGCTCCTGACCAGTCCGTTCGCATCACGTGTTATCTGGGCATGAGAAAGCTCCAGCGCCTGAAAGTCTCGGAGGCGCGACTCGACTGCTTTCTGGGTTTCGGCAGCCCACCTCTGTCGATGTCGACGAACAACATCATGTCATGTCCGACACATTGCACAAGCATCCACGCAGTTTGGAACCGGGCCCTGCTGGGGATGTCATCACCATGTTGGGCGCAGATTGAGATCTGGCCAAATCAACCGACACTGGTGGAAGAACGGAGTCTCAGGGTGGAAGTCTTGCCTTAAAAGAGTCCCCGGAAGATGAAGTGTTCCCATCGGGGCGCATCTCTTTCCTCGCAGCTGCATAAGGTTTCCAGCCAGCGAGATGAAGAATCTGAGTATGGACACTGGTGTCCTGCGGGCATTAGCGCCACTTCCACGTCATGACTTACCTGAATTTTGGGCACCTCAGGTGACATGACCGTATGCCAGGTTCACGAAACTCCCCGTGCAGCTGGCAAGACCTTGCTACTTTATAGCATTTCGGCTGTCCAACACACAATAACATTGACCTGTTCATACCTTCTCCTCTGAGCCTCTGTCCTTGCGGCCCATTGCTTTGATGAGCGCAAAGCGCAAAGCCGTGGCGAAGCACTCCGCTGGGAAGCTGCTACAGTTGTATACAAAATTGCTGTGTGATGATGGAGCAAGATGGTCTGTACAAGCTCATGCACATGCGCTCTTGAATTTATACCTGTTACCTCTTCTGGGCTTCGCAGCTCTTTGTTATTTGTACAAAGGCCTGTTTCACTTTGGCCCTGCAGTTCTCGGCTTCCAAGCTGAAGCTGACAAACAATGGCGAGCCACATGACCCACATGTTCTTTTGGCATGCACGGAAACAGGAGGCAAGCCTTTGTGCTCGTCGGGCATGGCCACAGTCGTGTAACGAGCAGTCACGGCACCGGCCGATGTCACAGCTCAACCTCGTCACCACCTGGCTACGCGTGCTCGAAGCTTTTCATGCTTCGCTTAATTTTCTGTCTTTTGGCATGCCACGAAACTTGAGAACAAAAACCTACCAACCTTCGTCTTCTTCATCTTGGTCCCCGTCCTCCTCAGCCTCCACCTCCTCCACAGCCTGCAGATTATGCAGATTCAACACGTAGCTGGTTACGTTCGGCACTTAGGAATTCCCGTCGCCCCCCTTTTTTTCTTCGAAGCACTAAAATTAAAAGTCAAGACCCTAGCACTGGGTTTGTCAGTGCTGATGTGGTTGCTCGCTACACTCAGCATGGATAACTCTGATTGCCGATCTATGCAGATTCACGGCCGAGCCGAACAAAACCCATGCCGCGAGACCAAAGCCTCAAACATGGTTTTGATTCTGATGTGTTCGCTAAGCGCCAGTATGGTCGAACGCAAGTTGGCGTATCATGTCGCTTCAAGCCGCTTCGAGAGGATTCGGTTCACATCTAGGCCAACCTGCTCTGTCAGTGTTGCAGGGGACAAAAGTCTGAATCCATCTTACGTCTGAAGCTGAAATGTGTTCCGAACCGCCTCGAAAAGTGGCTCCTCGTCCTGCAAACTGTCTCTGGACCCCACTTGGTCAACTTTGCCTTTCCTGCAAGCTGCGCAGAGAGCCAAATGCCAAGGAACACACACGATGCTATCTGCACGAGACCATAGTCACATGGGAGAAACCGCATGCCTGTGGGGAGGTGCTGGCTGCTGGGATGGCTTTGGACGAGGTGCTGGTGCCGAGGTTGCAGTCACCTGGAGCGAGAAGGTAAGACTAAGACCTGCTTTCTGATATCAACTTTTGCGCCACGTGCCCGACTTGGTGTTATCGCATATTTGCAGGTGGCGCTCGCCCCACTTGCACCCCACCTGCCTTAGTTGTCCCAATGGCCCCATTTGCCGCGTATGCCCACCCTGCCCTACCCCACCTTACCCCACGCCCTAAACCCCTTAAACCCTAAACTAAACCCCAACAACCCTGGAGCCCTAAGACTCTGAACTCGAAACCCGAACCCCAAGACCTTTCCTAAAACCACAAGCCGCTTGTCACAAACAAGCCCAAACCCCAACCGTTTCAAACGAACCTATACATCCCGTTCCAAATCTTCATGATGCTCGCCCGAGGGCTGCGCGCCCGAAACCCGCCAGCCGTGGCGCTTTTTCCGTGTGCGCCTGCGGCTGTCATCCCTCTTCCAATTCCCTGACTAAATGCAGGCCGATGTCGTGGGCGCTTTGGAGATGGCGCCGAACTGGGGTGTTGGTCATGAGCTTCGGCCGGTCCCCGGGGCAGGTTGGGCATGCATCATGAGCATCAGGGGCACGGGATTTGGCCCGGTTTAAGCCCGCGTCTAAGCGCGATGACGGCTTGCTCCGGGCTATTGCCTGCACCGCTCGCCAGTGGGCGCAGCCCCGAGAATTTAATGTTTCCACAGGACCGGAACTAATGCCACACTTAGAACTTAGAAAGGACGGTAGCTGGATGTAGTGAGCCTAGCTGCAGCAATACATTTTGCCCGTGCAGGCACCGGTGGTTTCCCGATGTCTAAGGAGCAAACGAAACAATCGAAAAGCAAAGTGAATAGAAACCACAGGCCCTGCAACTGCCCACCTTGGAACAGCAAAAAGCAAGGGAGCAGCTATAAACCTTCATTAAGTTGTTCTCGTGCACGTTGCTGTGTATTCTTGCATGTTCACCCATGTGTTTAGTGAAGGCAGCCCATCTGCCTGTTTCCGAATTCGGATTTTCGCTGCTATGCAAGGCTTGAAGGTTGATGAATACTGCTGAGCACGCGTAGTGGTGAATGATTTCGGCGGCTCTTCTTGAACCCATCCGCCGCCACTCACAATGGCCCATCTTGGTTCGCTTGCAACAGGGCAGAATATCGCAGGACCTTCACTAACACCCTGATGGGGTGAGCCCGTAACCTCAGTTGCTATAAAGGCATCACTCAACCTCTTTGACAGCAAAGACGAATGCTTGGGCAAGCCTCCTTGTGTGTCCCGGACTTGCTTGTTCGCGCGTCACTGCAGGAAAGTTAGAATAGGGTCGCACCTGGAAGAATGTTGGAGTTTGTCCCAAGCACCTCATGCTCTACTTAAGTTCGTTTGTCGAGGCTCCGAACCTTGCACAAATCCCAAAACCCACCAACACGGGAACACCGCCACTGATGGCTGTTTACATCAGTCTCACAGTAAGGATGACATATTGATTACCATCGGAGTTGGTGTTCATGTTTGATAGAATTTGGTAGCAATTGGCCTGAGGGCGGCAACGTTCGTGTGAACCCGTGCACAGAATTGCTGAGTCCTTCGGACCCCCGTAGCCTTTGCCTTCGCAGTCCCCACTATGCCAGCCCCAAGTCGGCGAGATGGCGCACAGCTGCGAGCGCACTGTGAGCACGTTCCTTTGTGGGGCCCGGGGGGAGTGCAGCGCGCATCCTGCTAATCTGCAGCTTTTCGTTCCCTCGAACAAAGTCACACACTGTCACCTCTAAATGGGAGCAAGCTCCGACTGCAGCCGGGTGGTTGGCCTTCTTGGGTTTTGAGGGACGCGCTTTGATCCTGCAGGAGGATTCACGATAAGTGTTGTTACTTTTCGCTCCGTCGCCCGTCGCCCGGCTCCAGCCTCGGCATGGATTTCAGCGGCGCCGACTGCTGGTCAGCGCAAGCCTAGCAGCTTAGCACCAGGGGTCGACCCTTGTCCAGCTGGAGGGCCCAAGACAGCGCCTGAAGAAACGATGTAGCGCTGCTGGCGTCCATGCTTTGCATGAACAAGCCACCTTAGAGCAACTGCAGCCTTTGCAATTACCTCGCTTGCTGTTTTAAGGGTCTGACCGTACGTTGCATTGCCTCGGTTTAACGGCGGCAACTTGATTCGTACAGATTAAGACTGCGGATACTCCCCCACAAAATAGTCGTCTTCTGTGCTGCGACAGAGAATATAAGGTTGGTGGCCCAGTTGTACATTCACATCAGATTGCTGAAAACTGGGAGGTCGCTCACTCCGTGGGGTTCGTCCACATGCACGGAAGGAACAACACGTTCAATCAGGAAGTATTGCCCAGCACAGAAACTGTGCAGTGCAGAATTCCAGATGCCCAACATCGACGCGAGTTCAATCGCGTACTTGCTTTTCGGACAAGAGCAGGGAGCCAGCCCTCACAGCAAGAACGAAATCCGACGTGCAGGCTTACGGGGTCCTCACGATGCAGAAGCACCACACCAAGAACATTCCATTGTTGGTTGGATCAGACGGATTTGAACTGAATAAGTACAAGCACATGAGCACCTGCACACGAACGCGAGAAGAACGGCGGCAATGCCGCAGTTACTTGTATGGCTGGCCGGTCAGTATCTGAAGTGGTGAGGGGAATGTATCAAGTGGTTGCGGAAGATGTTGTCTGCATCGTTTTGCAACTGGCCAGAACCGGCTTTCACACATCACCACTGGACCACGCAAGCTCTCGCAGGCCAAATCCTGTCTATGCAATGACATCTTCTCGGGAGTGAGCATGTAAAGACCTCCGTGTGACAATATGTTTTTGCTGAGAAGAGGTCCTTCAATCACTAAAGTCTGCAGGCTGCGCCGAGTGCCGCTAGGGTTGGATGCATTTACAGTTGTTGCGGCCATCGTTCGGCGCTACGAGCAAATCCCGTACCTTACATTCCTGTTCGAGTCACTGTTGCAGTTACACGGCATGCTTCATCAGCGAGATGATGTCAAGCAAAGGCGCAACATCGAGATACATTCGGCTGGCCAGAATTCGAATGCGTAGAAAACCGCCTTTGACGAGTCGAATTGCGTTGGCGTGTAAGCTGTGTTGATGATTCGCTACACAAGCGAGCCTCTCCCATGCGTTCGGCCTTGATATCGTCATCTGCGATTACGGATTTTTAATGAGCTGATTGGTTTGTTTGATGATTTTGATTTTGACCATCGAGATCTGATGTTCAGCCGCCGAGGTGCGATGCCAATTTTATGGAACAGACTTCAACATTCTGGGACAACTGCCGCCAAACAGTTGTGATCACTGAGTTATCACCATGCGACCGAGGCCCTCCTATTCGTAGAACATGCTGGCACTGAGGCCGGTACTAGGTCGACCCAAGTTGTGTGAAGTCTGCCCTCCCCAAACTCACGCCCAGATTCGCGCGAAGTCGACCCATCCGCGAAAAGTCGACGCACACGCACCAGGATTCCGGTGCGATCACCCGGTTTCTTATCGATAACGGTAATCGCAGCTCAGTTTAAGGCTGACTAACGTCTGCAAGTGCAAGCAACGCAGAAGCCGAACGAAGTCGAGGAAGCGTGTCATGAAAACACAGCTCTCGAAGTTTCTGACCAGCGTCCCAATTACCAATTGTTCGTTGATCTTCCTCATTTCAATCGACGTTTGTGAAGGAAAGGCGGAAGCCTTTGTTTGAAAATGACCCGAACGAAAAGTGTTCTGATGCTCGTGGTGCATGAGCATGTGAACTATACCTGCCGAAAAATACAAACTTGTACGGCACAAAGACTACCTTCCCAATTGCCCGGTTTGTGACATGCACAAAAGCCTGTCATCTCATAGCTAATGAAAACATCTGCCTAAATTATGCAAGCTCCATTCGTCTCCCTCACCAGTCAGCATAGCATCTGCAATCCAAGGGCGGCCTGTCGAATCATCTCGGGTCAGGCAAAGCACATCCGCGCCACCCTGCTTTCTTGCGCTGTCTCAGCCCATGACACACTCGAGATGGAGCAACTAATGTGCCTTCTCCTTGCTTCTCGTCGCAAGAAGGCTTTCTTCAAGCTTCAGCTGCCTCCCGACAGGTTTGTCCAACGTTGCAACCTCTTGCAGCGCTTCTGCACAGGAAGCAAATAACAACAGAGAGCTTCTCAACTTTGGAAACAGCAGCTGAAGCCTGGACACTACCCCAGTAAAGCTGCAAGGCTGCACCAGAAAGACGTGTCCAGCGACACAACTTTGAGACTGCGAAACTTTTCTTGCAATGGCCTGCCAGGGCAGCATGAACAAATGGCCACTGCGCCTCTTCACTGTCAATGGTCGTCTAGTGGCCTCAAAACGTTCAGTGCAGTGTCACGCTGAGCGGTATTCCTGAGTGCAAGATTTGAAGCCCGTCAGCTGTAACTGCCAGCTGAGGCTGGCACTTGTGGCCCACGACGACGCAGGAACGACGTGAAGTGCAGATGGTCGACCACCTCATTTTGCTACTGCCACACAACGGCAACCCTGTAGTTGCTGCGCACATGGATGACACAGGATTTCGGCCACTTTGTATTGGTGTCTGGGCGCCCAAAACCCAACATAAGTAAGTTCCTCCCCGCAGCGCAGGGAGGCTTCATGCATGGTTCAGCCCTCTGAAAGCAGGATAAGTTGAAATTCGCTTAGCAACAAATAGCAGCACTGGCACCGTTGCTGCTTCTGCTGCTGCTTCTGCCGCCTCTGCTACTGCTGCTGTTGCTGCAGCTGCTGTTGCTGCTGCTGACGCAGCTGCTGCCGTTCGGCACCCCACTGAAGCAACAACGGCAGATCGGGCAAGCTCTGCAGCCCTGGGCTGCGCTTTGAAAATCTGGTGGCTGAGCGACGCGGCTTCTTTAAAGCGTCAATCCGATGTATTTCCTCGGCGGGGCAGAGAGCTACACCTTTCCCGAAACCCAACGTGATGCCCGCTGTGCCCATTGCCCTACCAACCCTAGGCCCTAGCGTCAACTCATTGTAAGCTTTTCATCACACCAAAACCGTGCACCAATCCTCATACGGTTAGGCCTAGGCATACAGTGACATCTACATACATCTACTGTTTTCCAGCATGTTCGTGACATCTTGCTTCATCGCGTAGGATATGTCACTGTAGTCCGATAGGCTCACATACATGACACGACATGCCTGGCTAAATGAGACAAGACTCCAAAACGAGAGCAGGCTTGATTCTCTTCTCCAGATCCTGCAAGGGACTTGACGGGTTCGAACTCAGCCACTAGGTGTCTTGTGAAATAAATACAAGTAGGGTCCTCGACTTTTGAAATTCCAGTAAGAGGGAGAGGGCGCGGCTTGTTGCCATTGGCGACAACGAAGGACAAAGGTGGCTTCAGGCTGAGGCTGAACCTCGCCATCTCCGACTGCGACTGGCAGAATTCAAGCGATTAGAGTCTGCGACCGCTGGGCCACACTTCGACCACTAGAAGTCTGGTCCCAACCTCACAACCCGCCACTGCAATCTCAGCACCATGAGCTATTTCAGTAATGCACTGAGTTTCTGACACCGAAGAATGCCGACACTCAACCTGAGCAGTGAAGCGGCCCTCGAAGACGTACGAAGGAGAAGACACGCAATGCCATGTCACAAGAAAGATGATCTCCCCTATTGCTTGCAGATCGCGCACAGGAACACACAGACAACCAGACAAGCAAGCAAAACAACATCTTCACGTTAGAGCTTTCTTGGTTGTCTGTGCTACAGTGCGCATAGCCCGGCCATGTCGTGACTGTGTCACCATGGGGAACCCACTGTTCGGCAAAGTTAGACAAGATCTCATACAAGCACGGGAATAGGACTCACACACTCTCATACGAGCAACCCTTATAGCCGCGGTCAGAGTTCCTCAATCGCCTGGTGACAAGTCCACCTTCCTGCATTTGCGGAAGTGCGTGATTGCACTCTGAAGTCGCAAGTCTGCGATAGTGTACAAGTAGGCCTTGACAGGCCTGTCGTTGTCACAGGCTTTCTGTAGACAGAAGGAGATCTTTTGCTGTTCACGAACTCACAAATGTTGATAGGCGGCCGCATGCCGATGCTGAAGGTGAAATTAATAAATAGCTCAGTCACGGAACTGTCGGCGTGTGGAAGGCTGTTGCGCCCAAGCAAGTAGAGGACAAAGAAAGGCCGATCCATAGGTTCAGGTTTGATTGCGTTCCAGCTGAGGCACCCCAAGCTCCGCCAAAGACTTCTGCCGGATTCCTGCCCGGACTGTCGCCCGACCACGCAAACCAAATCACACAGAAAACGCTTCGACCTCCAGAATTTGCGGCAAGCGGTGATTGACAGTCTCGTCGTTTATGCCTAAACGAACAGATGCACAGGATACAAGCAAGCTTCAGCTCCACACGAAGAGGCAGAGAGTGAAAAGCACGGGTTATTGCCGCCATGCCACAGTAGATAAGCCAGGGGTCTCCACCGAAGAGCACTTTCTGCAGAACAGGCAAACACTGCAGGCAAAATGCTGCAAACAGAACAACAGCTCTGAAGTGGGGTCTTTCTCTGCAACAGCCCCGAGCCTTTAATTTTGCTGTGTCTTGCACGTCAAGCGTGACAACCCCATTGCCTCGGACTCGCAAACGCAGACACCAATTCCATGCCAAGTCATGCTGCTTCGAAACCGGATAATGCGAGCAACCAATCTGCGAGCAACACGACGTGCAGCGATTGTAAAAAGGGGCCTCTTTACCAAGCTGTACCTTTTCCGCGCCCTGCAGTGGTTCCTGGAAGGGCCTTATGTCTTCAACGCAACACCACAAGATGCTTGGAGTTGGTTCTTATTAGCCTTGCCAGTGTTGTCAGGGCCATCCCATCCAACTTTCAATGATCTGCACATTCCAAGTGTTGTCCCGAGCCACATCACTTGAGCTGGAGCTGCTTCCCAGCACTGAGCCAACTCTGTCACATAGCTGAACGGTAAGCTGGGAGTGATCTGTAGTTAATCGCAGCACTGCAGCACGGGTTCAAACAAGGCCTGTACCAATAATGAAGTCGGAGATTGAGAACAGGAACGAAAAAAAGCCTCCGCCGTACGCTGACATTTGCATGACTGAAACGTCAAACTCACAGAGCAAGTGTGCAATCCAGGCAGGCCTATGCCACACATGAACAAGATGAAGAACCAGCCAGCAGCCTGCTGCTTCCAAGAGGCCTGGTGCACGGAGAGACTTCATAATCTTCATATCATGCAGCACCATGCCACAACGGTCAGAAGAGCACACAGCCTTCTCCTGGGGCTGCTTGGCCCGGTTCTTCATTGCCTTCCGGACTTCCCTGAAGGCACCAGCTATCGTTTCATTCCTGCCTCGATCTGGCTTGCAGTCTCAGGTGTCAGCCGCTCTTGTTGGCGTTCCTTGTGACCCGGTCCTTTCCTCAGAAAACTGCAGACACTGGCGAGGCCTGGAAGTGCCGGTGGCGAAGGTGTGGGGCCACGGCCATTTGGCAGACTCTTCAATCAGCTGCCGCTGTCCCTTCTGAAAAAGGAAGCACGCCCTGATGCAGCGGTTTTGAAGACTGCCTTCTGAATGCGCTCGTCATCCGGATCCACATATCCAGCTTTCTGCAAGGCAGAAAGCAGCTACTGCATACGTGCATGGTGGGCATCTTTGACTCGCGGATCAAATTCGTCGGTCTGCACTTGAACCACTGTGCCATTCTCATTCATGCGAAGACGAATGAGACGGCAAAATTCTAACGCGGTTAACATGCGAAAAACTCTGCTTTACTGTTTTGCACGAACAGTAGAAGCAAGAGTGCTAAACATCAAAGCGATGGTAGGACGTAGCTTGCATAGAGTAAAATTAAAATCAGAACCGAATAGTACAAGACAAAATGCCCATGAGGTGCACCGTTGGTTCTTGGAATAACCCCAGTTTGGTTCCTGCCTGTTCAATACCCTCACAATCGAAGTTATCCACCGAAACCCTGATTTATTAGGGTTTTTTGTTTTTTGCCACCCTTTCAACTAAAAATTCCACTCTGTCACCGTGTCATACCGTGTCACTACCGTTCATGTAAACACTGACTAGTGACTAGTATACACAGCCTCACCGGCGAAACGACAAAAACCGTCGATGCAGACCGAAGTCGCAGCAGCAGAGGTTGTTCGGAAAGGGCCGATGATGCGACATCTCGAGGCGGAAAGAAAGTTTGCGAAGTCACCCTACTACTGAGTGTAAGGCTTACATAGCTCATTGAATTGATTCTGATATTAAGCCGCCAAGTTCGTTCGGGACATTGGGGGTTGAGACTACTGGTCACGACATGTTTGTGTCATTCTGCTGTACATGCGACAAACTTTGCTCCACATGTTTTTTGCGCATGATGTTTTCAGCGAGAATTGTTATATCTGCAGGGGGCCGGGAGGGTAGAGCGGCGATCCCGGCCAACGAAGACTCGCCACTCAACCCGTGCAAACGTACCTGCTCTACGGGCTCCTCCTGATGCTCTTGGGCCCGGCGCGGCAGCTGGGGGTCAAGAGGATGCCCATTAAGTGGATTTCTTTTACCTGACTTGCAACATGTACGTCACCTACAGCAGAGAGCCTCCTCAGTTGTGTTCGGCAAGAGCTCCCTCATGAGGGCCTTGTCGTTATACGGCGAAGTTGCCGGCCCACCGGGGTGCTTGTGTTAGCAGTTCTGGAGATCATTTCCGTCTCACAACATGTTCAAGTGGAGATCACTGAGCGGAAATCACACTTCCGGAAATCAGAGTGGAGTGGGGTCCGGAGATCACTGACGACTGCGTGTGTTTTCATGTTTAGGCATTTTCTGGCTTGAGACTCGCGTTCAAGTGTTGTTTCAGCAGACCAGATACATGCAGATCAGCTCTTGCTTGGCTTGTATTCCGGAGTGCAGTCTCGAGGAAGGCTGCAATTTACAAAGAACACATTCCGATTCCCTGGACTTACAAAAATGATCGATTGCGTGAAGAGGATATTTATTTATTTATTTATTTGGATGGACTTGCAGCTTACAGCAGGGTTCGGCTATGGCTAAGGCAGACGTTGATGCGTGAAGAGGATATTTATTTATTTATTTGGATGGACTTGCATGAGACGCAACATTGATTGGGATGAACGATGGCCGAAGTTGTATTCTGCCACGAATGAGAACCCTAAACCCTAATTCATTCCACTTTGTTTGCTTCTGTTGTTGAGACTCAGTCCCTTGTTGGAGCCTTGGGGCCTGTGTAGGTGGTTGTGTTGCTTTGATGTTGTTGAGCCTCAGTCCCGTGTTGAGCCTCCAGGCCGTTGTGTACTGTTTTGAGGACTTGCCCCAGTTGGGGCTTGTTTGTGTCATTCTGCTGTACATGCGACAAACTTTGCTCCACATGTTTTTTGTGCATGATGTTTTCAGCGAGAATTGTTATATCTGCAGGGGGCCGGGAGGGTAGAGCGGCGATCCCGGCCAACGAAGACTCGCCACTCAACCCGTGCAAACGTACCTGCTCTACGGGCTCCTCCTGATGCTCTTGGGCCCGGCGCGGCAGCTGGGGGTCAAGAGGATGCCCATTAAGTGGATTTCTTTTACCTGACTTGCAACATGTACGTCACCTACAGCAGAGAGCCTCCTCAGTTGTGTCAACAAGCTTAGCCTTCATCAAAACTGACAGAGGCTATGAAGCCAAACAAAAAACCGCTGGTTGATCCCTGATGCGACAACCAACCTGTTTCGACCTCTGACTATTAACGCGCTCCTCCACAGTGCACATCTACTTGCACATCTCACATCTGAAGGGCGAAAAGCCCCGATGATGCATGGAGGTGCTACTGCATTTACGCATGATTCGCCCTGAGCTTGACGTCTTCCATTCCAAGACCCGACACGCAAGTTAAGGACATGCCTGGTGTGGACTTCCGTCTTAGCTTGCCTCATTCGACCCTGCCACGACATATGCCTAGACTCCTAGACGTCTCTCGTGCGGAAACCCTCCACAGCTTGCCACGCGCGTGCACGCGCCTCGCTTAGAGTTTCTCATTGGCTTAACCACACCCCGACACTGTTTCAGCGAATTTCACTATTTACTACACATCAACAAAATCCTGGCCCGCAGTGTGGACACATGTGGACACTGCATCTGGGTATCGGTTGTGGAAGCCTCAATACATGTTATAACCCAGCAAACATCACGGATGCTGCGCTCACCGTGCTCTCCTACTAAATGCCTGTTGGCAAAGAGCCTCGATGATGTGACATGTTTTTCTTGCTTTGCTATAACTATAACCTCTGCTCCTCTGCTGGATCCAACATCCCGCCGACGTTATTTTGTCAAGTCTGCGCTAGGCCGAACACTCCTGACATCTCATCTACATTATTCTCGGAGGCCGTGGTCGGTCGAACCCAACCCGAACGTTGATCTTGGAAGACTCCCGAAAGCCACGTGCCGCGCACTGGCCATTCAAACGCCTGTATATGTATGGAAAACGTACCTATGTGTAGTATATGTTAGTTATATAACAAGTGAATGTGTGCGTGCATGGAAAAACCTGTACATCATCCGCCCATATCGAACGATGCCGCTCGGACACTCATCAGCTCAGCCATCGCACCTCTTTTGCTCCGACTATCTGCCACTTAACTACGGACGTCGTCGAGCCTCCTAGTTAAAGTCAACGCAGGATCAGACTAGAATATCTCGACGAATGCTGGCATGAGCAAACAGAAGCACAAAAGCAAACCTTAAATTTCAAACACAAGCCGCTAACAAATCTCACTCTCCAAGTGAACAGTGTCCTGAAGGCCTACAGCCAACTCGAAACCCCAAACGCCCGCACTTGCAATATCATCAATATCCCTCATCCAGCTCTCGATCCATGCAAGAAACTCAACTTGAAATGAAGGCAGCACTTGACAGATCGAAACATGAAGTCCGTCCTTGCCCATGCTGCACAGCGCTGGCCAGAAAGCTTCTTGAATCAGGCTCTGTGTCTTGTGTCTGTGCGTATGCAGGCTTGTCTGTTCTGAGGCTAAGGAAAGCACGGGTTGAATAGATTCCGAGTCCTTCTGCGAGCATCGTCCTGAAAGTGATTGGAACTGAAATGACGTTGACGGTCTGGCGGGCTTGAACCAAGGTTGTTTCATTCTATCAAACAGTGAACGCGATTCTTCGCAGTGCTCTGGAGCTTCGTGCAGTTTTTTCACCGCAAGCTTCTGCCGTTTGCCCGATGTCGCTGTTGCGGTGCCGAACTCGGGAGTTGACGTCACAGCGAACTGGGACTGGGATTCTTTCGCTGCCCAAGTTCGATCCAGCGGTCTGTACACAGGCGCAGCGGCTCAGATGCAGCGGCAGGTCGGGCTCGGAGGCACGAACGCACACCTCTCTGTAGTCCCCTCAAAAGCGAGCTAGCAGCTAGCCAGTTCCTCTTTTCACGTGATATTTCGGAACTAAAAGAACTCTACGGACATGGCAGAACCTAGCAGCAAATGGAGCGAAGACTCAAACTGGTCCGAGCCTAGTGTCTGGCCTTCAGAATCAGCAAAATAATCAAGACCTTTTCAATCTGGCAGTGACACTCGCTGCAATTATGCTTGGCATGATAAGCTGCTGGTCTTCACAAGGCCAGGACAAGATTGACAATGACCAGGAAGTAGATGCAGTTCATGGCCTGCAGAAAGGTGGGCATGTTGGCAACATTCTGATGCAGCCGAGAACATGCAATCAAACATGACAGTGTGCTCGATTGCTTTTTTGGCTTTCTTCTGCCTGCCCACAAAACAAGAACATGTAAGCAAGGTATCCGGTGCAAATCTCGGAACTACCTTTCGAAGCTGCTTATTTGCTTCTGCACTTTGGTGGACAACCTGACAGGAAAGCTGCGTAGCATCAAGGCGCCAAACCGCTGCATTCCTCGACGAGCCTGCTCAATATTGTAGTCAATGCGGTCAAGGATGGATCCCTGATCTATGACCAGCACCGCAAGCTCCTGGCAGGAGAACGCGGCCCAGACCGCACAAGCCCGTCAGAAAACTGCTCCTTGAAAATTGTATGTAGGTCTGTGATGGAGGCCGCGATCTTGTTGATTTCTTCATTCCTCACGGTCGCACCTGCAAGCTCTCATGAGCGAGGGACAAGTCTTAGTTCTCAATGGTCATCTCGGGGCCAGGCTTTGCTCCATCTCTTGCAAATCCTAGAAACCCACAGGGAGACGAGAAGATCAGATCCGATCCCCCTAACTAAACCCTTGGATGTAAAATGATTTCCTGGAGCTGGCCATCGGTGAAACCTATGTCGGCGTCGGGCCTAGGAGGCACAAGGGCACAACACGGCCGAGATCGGTGAAAGAACGCTCGCTCAGCTTAGCACATGCTTCCTTTCGCAACATCGTCTATCAGCCCTCCTTTCTGGCGGTTTCTGATGTCATTCAGGTAGTCCTGCAGGGAACGTCCAGAGAGTTGCTCGGAAGTCTGACCATGGTTCATGTGGACTTCCTTCTGGGACTGCCGAAAGTGCTGCGAGAGCTGTTGAAGCCTTGGAAGCACAAGAAAAAATGCGTTTGAAATTCTGCACTTCCCGGCCCCTCCAGTATCATGGAGGCGCAAGGCAAGCACTGAGTAGCGAGATTCCGCTGCATGTTCTGCCTCAACCTCGGGTGCATCTGGGAATACGATGTGCATGTGTAAACAGACGTCCACCAAAACCAATTGTGTTCCTCCCTGTTTGAGCAGCAAGCTCTCTGTCCTTCTCAGAGGCAAGAGCAGTTCCACGGGTCTTCACCTGCGGACTGATGGACCGGCGCCTCCCCTGATGACAAAGACATACAAAGACCCAACCGGAGCCTGGTGAATTGAATTCTCGCATCTCTTTACCTCAGAACATCATTGCCGAGGCCATGCCAAGTTGTGCCTTGCAGTTACACAGCCTGCACAGATGTGCCAGAATCAATCTCTCTGACTGCGGCAAGATTTGACACTTCGTTGGATATTCGTTCGACCTGTGAGACAAGCAATGAGCTCTCCATCACCAACTACGGCCCGTAGATGCAACTCGGCCTCTCTGTCGGGAGTTTTGTCGTCCGAGAATACTCGAATGAGGCGCCTCGGCCAACATGCATAGATGCACAGCTGAAATTCTGCCAGGCTGAGCCGTGTAGCTTTGACTGCGCTTTCTCAAGCTGCACCATCTTGTCTTTAATTGTCTTGATGTCCTCTCTCGCCTTTCTGCAGAGTGCCAAAGCTGAAAAGGAGACGGTGCCAGAAGGTGCCCGCCTGTTCGGCTGCCTCGACCCATTGAGGTGGCAGCGGGGCCATCTCCAGCGAGACCTCAGACCCAAGCAGTTCGTGGTCTCGATCCATGCGTCACTTCCAAGCCTCTTTTCGACCCCCCTCCACGTCGAGCAGACGATCCACCTGGCAAAGGCCGTCGACGCGCTGCACCAAGCCTTGAAGTTGACTAGCCGTCGGGACGTCGCCATGCAGCCCACCACCCTCGGCTGAGAGACTCTTTAGATTGCAGGTGTGCAAGCGTGCCGACTCCCCAATCTCTCAAAACGAGCTCTCCGGGCGCAGAACGAGCTTCCTTGCAGCCCGTCGATCCCGATGTCGGGTGAACAAGGGCCTCACACATCTTGACGTGAATCAAGCTCGCAGTTCGCAATGGAAAAAAAATCAAGCAGGTGAACCGGTCCACGGCTGTAGAACACGAGCATCGAAATCATACTCACACGCAGCTTTCCAAACCAATCAAACTTAGAACGCATCATCGCACACTTGTAACGCCAATATCTCTGAACCGGGCGTCGGGCGTCAAGTTGCGAGTGATCGGCGATTTACCATTTATGGCTTTCATTTGTCAAACTTCAAAGCTGAGCAACTGCAAAGTTCTCAACAGAATCAACAAGGTCGACCATAGCTTGCTATGCCCCACATCGCAGTTTGCAATTGTCAATGCATGAAGTGCACATGACCGACGGAGCCAAAGCTGCATGTCCTGAGTCCTCACCCTTCAGAGACACGTCCTGTGAATCTCTCCAGCATCACAGGCTTGGCACATACGACTCAATGCAAACACTCCTGGTTTGAAGTGCAAGATGCAACATGCAGGGACTGACCGGCATCATCAGGAGCCGACTAAAGCATGAATCAATGAATCTAGCGGCGACAAGGCATGCTCATTGAATCTGACGTTGTGTTGGCATTGGCAGCTTGCAAGGCTTACTTACATAACTTGAAGGGTTTGCAGCGCAGTTGAGCTGCGTTGATGTGCGTCATACTTGTTCTCTACGCTCAAAACCACGGAGCACACCGCTCCCGAAGCGTTTGCCTGTCTCTTGCAATGGGGGAAGAGCGACATCATTGTGATGCCTTAGGTTTGTATGCACCTAGCAACTCTATCCTTACAATGCCGTGCGAAAGCCCTTGCATCCTGCCCAAGCGCTCACGACTAAAGTCTAAAGCCTCTTGGTCTTGGTCAAGACACCAGTCTCCCACTCGCATTTTTAAGCAATCCTCTGGATCAAGTGAACGCCCCGAGACGTCGTGACCACCTGGGCAGACATGCAAAAAGCAGCGAACTCCTCGCTCTATGCACAGGTGCAAGACAGCAACGAAACAGCTGGCAAGCATTGTTCCTCTTTCCGAGCACGAAACATCGCTGAACTCAGCCTTGCGAAGAGTAAACCTGGCCAATCGGCATCGGGGTCCGGTCAGTGACATCGCGACGATCATCGTGATTTTTTGGAGGCGGCGCTTGGCACATTCGGTTCAAACTCGTCGGCTCCACGCTGCCTGCTCAAACGCAGGCTCACACTGGCCCCTCGAGACCTCTGTCTGCTCGCAATGTACATTGCCAAACTCCATGCACACCACGTTGAGTCTCATGCCCAGCCCAAATCACCACACAGCTGCCCGGCATTGTCTGCTGAAGAGCACTCTGACCGCTGTTGACAAAGCTTCCGGAAAGCAGAACTCCTGCAGATAGATGCAGAGAGCACACCCCAGCGAGGCGAACGGCAAATGCAGAAAGACGAAACAGCGCTGGTGCTTGGGTTGTTGCTAATCTGAGTGATGCTTGCCCCCTGGAGACTGTTGACTGGCAAGGAGGCTGCTGGCGCAGCATGACAGGAAAACAGCGCAGGAGGGCAATGAAAAGCAATCTGTAGGAAGCTTCCCTTTGCTGTCTTGTTTGGAAGGCCAAGAGGACGGAACTGTCAATTGGTGGGTGGCACTGGGTTGGGTCCAGCAGCATCGGGGAATTCGATGGAGGTTTCAAGACTCAGCAGAACCCGACTGCGGAAAACTTGCGGATCTTGAGAACTTCCGGCAAAGATACCGGTTAGCATACCACAATCAAGTCTCGAAGCTCGTCCAATCCCAGCATCAATGGTGTGGCAAGCTGGGCCAGCGATTTCCATGAAAGTTCCGTAGCACAGCACAGCGTTGTGACCCAAGATTCCCTGCAGGAGTCTTGATTTCGGATTTATTTCTTTTTCGGATCTTTTACGATATCAAAACGAATGCCCATTGCGACTTCATAGTACTTTCAGACATTCAGAGCACAAACTCCGGGGCGAACCTCTGCGCATCAGGGTCAGCTCCATTCATATCCGTGTCCATAGCCAGAAGGCTCCGAAGAACGGCCTCTGTGTAGCAGGGAAAGGTGCGAGCTGCTGTCAGGTGCGCTGCAGTCCAATTTTCGTTCGCAGATCGAAACATCCGTCTGTGAAACTTAGGCCCTGGTGTCAGTCAAGTCAGACGTGGCTCTCCTCATCCAGGTCGACGAAGCCCACAATAATATATCCTCGAGCTGCAGTTTTACCCCGGAACATCACAACCCTCACAATACGGCGCTTTTGAGGTACTGCAGAATATGATCAGAATATGATAGGGACGAGTGGAGTGGAAGAGCTCACTTACGTATTCCTTTTGCAGTCCCATGCTGCAGCTGCAGGTACAGTTTAGGTCCTTAGGTCAGATGACGCTTCACATCATTGCTCATCGGGACGGGAACATGACGTCTTCGTCGATGCTCATAGCGAGGCAGTGCTTTTGCGTACGAGTAGAAAGACAATGCACTCTGCACTCCCGATCTCGAAGCAGTGTCACTTCGAGAATGACTCCATGACATCCAATCCAACCAGAGCTAATGTGGCGTTGCTGTCAACTTCATTTCGCCAAGATTCGCTCGCCTCTGGTGACAGGCTGGCCTGCCCCGAAACAAAACATGCTCCGAGTTGACAAACCTAGTGGAGTCCTGCAGCTCCGTGCACACGTCAGCAGTACTGTGCTGCTACCTAACAGTAGCATGCTTCCTTCACGGGTCAGCCACTCGGAAGTTACAGAACCTCTCTGAACTCGGAAACAAACTCTGCAACACTGGAAGATTGATGCGAGAGATGCCTCCGTGACGAAGCTTTCCACTGTGTACAAAACAATCTCCCTGCATGATTTGGTAGGCACACTCATCCGCTTCCACGTAAGTGCCACCACCTTCAAAATCTTGCGCACTGTTCAGCAATATGTTGAAGGATATAATCGAACCGTCACGATGTAAAGCTAAGCCCGCTTGACCTTGCACAGAGTACTGCACGAAGAAGAGGTCTCTGAAGTACAGGCATGATCCGGATCCATCACCCCAGCCATGGCGCCTGGCAAGCTCCGGCAGCACCCTTTCTGCTAAAGACTCTCTGACCCAGGTGTCGATCTCCGGGATGAGACTGCAAGGAATATCCGTAGTGGCGTAGGCTGCATGCCTTTCGCTTGTCCATCCGGATCCGGACGCGGCAGCTTTAACAGCACCTAGAACATAGTCACACTCCAGCGGTGACCAAACTGCTTTGAGCGTGTAGACTTGTCGCAAATCGGCAGGTACTTCCAACTGCTGGGCAGCCCGAACTTTCCCGGCTTCCACAGCCTTTGCAGCCCGATTATCAAGATCCTCCTTGTCTAACAGACAAGGGCTTACGCCCAAGATCTCACAAACGCTGTTGCGATTATGCAGCCTCGCGATCTCCACGGCTGCAAAACCATCTACGTCTTTTGCAGAAACATCTGCTCCCCTTGACATGAGAAGTTTCACCACCTCCTCCTCCCCACAACGAGCCGCCAGATGCAAGGGTGTCTGACCACCAGCTTGAACGACGACATTTTGTAAAAAAAGATCCTTCGTTTGACCGTTCATTGGCGCCCCGGCGTCCAGGAGAGCGGCTGCCAAGCGGTGCATCCCATACTGTGCTGCGTAGTGCAGAGCAGTGTATCCGCTCTCTCGCTCCCGCCAAGCCGATCCGCAAAACAGCGGAGCGCTGTCTTTTGCCAAAACTTCGCTCAGGGCGTCCAAGGCCTGGTCCTCGTCGCAACAAGCGGCGCACCGCGTCACAGACTGCATCCCAGGACCAGCCAGCTGCCCAGCTTACAGTGTGGTCTATCACAACTACGAGTCTACTGGGTGATAGCTGACCTGAAACCAGAAGCTGCAGGAACCATGAAATATGATGAATACGGGGACTGCCTGGCATCAACTATCGTCGCAGCTGTTACAATCCAGATCTTTGCTTCCCGAACACAACAGCTTTCGCAGGGGCTTCGGCCACAAGGTCTGCCTCTGCTTCTGCGGGGGTCCGATTCTGCTGCGTCTTTGCCCGAGCACGTCGGGCCTGCACGATCGAATCCCAAAAGAATGGGCTAGCTGCCCCAATTTTCTCTGAGCTGAGTTCCGAGCCATCGGGTCTTCTGGAGGCATCTTGCCAGGCTCTGCACATCGCAGCAGGAGGTGCCGCAGGCGAAGTGAACGTGGACCTGAAAACTACGGCGGCAACAAGGCTGCGCTGAAAATCGGCGAGTTCTCGCAGCTTGCTGAGGGCTGCTCCGACGGTGCCCTTATGCCTCAAGTCTTCCAAACTGCAGACTCAGTCGCAATTGGCGTCAGGGATAATCCCGATAGTCATTGCGTTCATATACTATTGTTTCATATTGAAGTCGTGTAACTACTACAGTTGTGCAAGCTGCTTCCAACACTCCTGTGGCAAAGCTTCAAACCAGCCTCTTGGCAGGACGTCCAGAGGGATCCTCCGCAACCTAACGCTTGCAGAAAGGGAAAAGTCTTCCAAGGTGTGCTGCCTGACGAGCCTCGTCCTCGTCCTCCCGCTCACGTATGCATATGCAGATGCTGGAAGCCTGAGAACAACAGTTATTGCTGAGAGTTCATGATGTTCCGAAGTGTCGGGCTCCTGATGCATTAGCAGGCAAGAGTTCATGGACTGCCCCACGCCTCTTGTGTGAAGGCATGTCTCTAAAGGCATCAACATGTAAAGTCCGGCGCGATGCCGGTGTGTGGGTGGCAGCGCAAGAATTCATCGCAATCTCTCGAAAAGAATGTGTGCTTCTATGAGCTTCTCCTCCTCCTCCTCCTCATCATCATGTGCACTAGCAACCTACGTCGATCCCACCGACCACCCCTGCACCTCCTAGCACAAAGAGTGGGCGGACTGAAAAGCATCGTTTTATCAGTGGCGGCAGATCCCTGTAGCCCGGAGATGCCTAGCTTCGAGCTAGCAAAACTCCAGGGAGGGTTGGGTGGGTACTCTGAAAAACTTCTACCCCCCAAAGGGGTTCTAGCCGTAACGGCGACGGATAGAACACATTTAGCGAAAACACCTTCGATGTTTTAGCTGTCGACACCTTCGATGTCGAAGGAGGAACTTCGGGTTGCTAGCACACACAGTTGTCCCTCGTCCCTCGTTACAAGAAGCGTGCACTAGCAACCTACGTCGATCCCACCGACCACCCCTGCACCTCCTAGCACAAAGAGTGGGCGGACTGAAAAGCATCGTTTTATCAGTGGCGGCAGATCCC